ATTGTCCGTGCATGTAACACTTATCCTGGGTTGCGCCTGTACCGAACAGCGCAACGAACACGCACAGCAAGTGGAATATCTGCATGTCTCCTGATAAATGTCGTCCAGCCTCGTTGCACTAATCACTCACGTAAAAATAATCGTACTTACAGGAAATACCACGTCACTTTTCAACGAAGCATTCGCGAATCGTTTTGCGAGGTAGGAAGGAAATGGAAGAGAGGCAGAAATAAAAGATAAGATATCGTGGGAATGAAAGAAAAGTGAAATAAAACCGGCAAGAACTTGAAAGGGAGGGACAAAGCAAGGCATGTACAAAGATATAAAGAAAACAAAAAAGAAATGCCTATCTTCTGGGATGTTGAGCAATGAGTCCCCACCATCGGTCTGATGGTGGAGACTGTAAGTACCTCTGAAATGTCAATAAATTTCTACCACACTACAAACGACAGTCATCCTCATAATCATCACTGTCAGAACAGGAGACCTCACAAAAACAATACAAGATCCATGGTAGCTCATAAAAGGCAATGTAAACCAAGTCTATCTCTCAGGTAGCTGAATCAAAAGAACAACACTGCGCAAAATCATTTTCTACTTCCATCTACTGTGCTCACAACTCATCTAACAAAATCCATTTAATATTACATTCTCATCTCATTCTATGATTTCAAATGGACAACTTTCAAGAGGTTTCTTTTCAAAAATTCTGTATACATTCCTTGTACCCCATCCCAGCTACATGTTTAATCCATCACAGCATTACAGATTTGATTGTCCTAATAACATAAGGTAAACACTTACATTATCCATCACAGATCCAAAGATTCTCTTGATCACTTTGTTTACAAAAATTATTTATGTTCTTCCCTTTAAGTAGGAGTCCAAGTCATTCAAGACAACTAACAAAATAACTGTTCTGTACAACATAAAGTAAAAAATTAAAGCTGTCCCACTATATGCCATTTAGGTGCTTGGGGGAGAGGATTTATAGCTCCTACTCCTTCTTAACCTCAGCACTAGATAGGGGTGAGTGGTCAGCATCATGCCCCGCCTGCACTTTATTCCCAGGAGGGTGGGCCCCAGAGCCAGCCTGGACAGAGGCTACAGAAAAAATCATCTTACCCCCATCAGGGATCAAACCCCGGTTGTCCAGTCTGTAGACAGTCACTATACTGACTGAGCTACCCTGGCTCCATTTCGCATTACACAGGAATTGTTACATTTACCTACATAAATAAGCTGAATACCACAAATAAAGATATGGAACTGGGTACCATGGCAGGTTCATCAAACAATATCATGGTACTTCTTTTGTGGCATTTATTATAAAAACCCACCTTTAAATAGGAAAGTTGCATACTACACTAGACATTAAAGAAACCACATTTGATTACTGTTTCAGTATCCAGTCTAATTACTGAAATATTCAGTAATCTTGTAATGGCATGTCATTTTGACAGTGCTAGGTGACATTTCACTTGCAGATAGTGTCAACTTTGGTCTTAAAGATAATCTTGAATGGTGTGAGGACAAGGACATGCAAGACAGCAGATGCGACATGTTTCAGAGTATTATCCTGGCATTTCACTGAAGAGACTGAGCAAGACATGTGTCACACTAGCATACAGCTAAAGTATTAACCCTGGAGATAAAGTTCAGCTGGCAGCCCTGCAATATGGGGATATGATAAAGGCTAATGAATTTAAAATGTAGAAATCATTATATAATTGGAAATTTAACCATTTTCTCTGCCTAAATTACAGAATGTCATGAATTTAGTTGGTGCAGCAAAGGGTTATCCCCACAAACCAAAATATTATACTTTCAAAACATCTCTTGTGTAAATATGTAAACAATACAATTTCAAACTGTGTAACTCTTAAGCGTTCAGTCACTTCAGAAATTATATATGACATAAATTACTTAAGGAATCATGCTATTGTATTGTACTTGAAAACTACAATACAGAACCATTATACAGGTAGAAAAGGCAGTAAGTCTGGTTTGGCAATTTTGTTATCTTCAGAACTCTGAACTTATAAGAAAATATTAAAGTTTGCTGGACAACTGAGAAAGACATTTTCCCAAATTTATGACATGAATATAAAACCTTCAAGGACAAGGCTGCAGCATACAAAGAGTTTCCATGTTTCAAGGAGGGCTGACATAACAGGAAGTTGACCCAAAAGGGGTTGCTTGTAATGACGTAACAACTACTGCATGACTTAATTCCATAAAAGTGTAACCTCAACATGTATTAATACCATTTTCACTATCTATGAGAAGTTATTTGTTGTAAATGCTGTCATTGGGAATCTGGAAACTGGTTGCTGTAGTAACCATCACCAAATTGTATGCTTCAAGCCTATTGGACTCTCCCCCCACCTCCACACATACTTAAGTCAACAGTACACCACTGCTAGCTCTGGAATGCTGTGTTCATGTTGCATCATTCAACAATAAACAATTTTATTGTGACCTTGAAGCATGCAATTTGGTCATGGCTACAATAAACCATGACAATCCATCAGCACATTAGTCTCTTTTATTTCAATAATATCTTACCATAAACAGCATGACTGTGCTTTCATAGTCTCCCTACTTTCGAGTCCCTGCTGACCACTCGCAGTACTGAAAATTTTCTTGAACATACTCAGGTCGGCAAAAGATGCTATGATGATGGTACATCAGGTCACAAGAAAAGACCTGCAGGAGTGCCGTTCAGTAGCTGTACAGCTACTGGCAGAAATGTGTGACAATAGAAAGAAGTTGCTTCAAAGGTAGTGTGCTGTAAAACCTGCAAAAATGACAGATAAACTCACATAAGCAAATTTAATAAAATGACAGCTCTTGTCTGGACACACAGGCCTTGTTTGCTTCAAATGCCTTTTATGTCTCATATTGCTGGTGAAATTATACAAGATATCTCACTGTTCTAAATGTAAAACATCAACACCTTCATCTACAGTACAGAAAACATCAAATTTCAGTTCTTCACTGAGGGAAAAGTCAGAGAACTATAGCAGAATATTACACAATGGAACACAGATAGGCCTAACATTATTCAGAAAACTGCTTAAGAGTCCTTTCAGTAGTTTATCGAGCGTTATCCAATAGAATTTTCAAATATGATATATAATAGGCTGATGTGCACTACCAGAGTACAATTTTTTTGTATTACTTTCAATGACATTGTGTTAAAATTATAGATCAGTATAACGATTCTCCAGATCACATGATCGCTGTGGCACTCAGCCCACTGCATGAGAAGACCATTAAAAACGTAAAATGAACTTAACCTAACCAGTCATTCCGGGCATAAACGTTAATCGATACTTCACCCGGGAAATTCATTCCTCCCGATCTGAGGGTAGGTTGTAGTTTCCTGGGCTACCCACAATGTGTTTTCAAAAACACTATAAAATGCAAACTACGAATTATTGTACCAACCCATTAAATTTCAAACACTTAATAAAAGAAACACAAGGAAGAATATCATTCTCTGCTCAGACTGGTGCAGACCATATATTATAAATTTTGGCATACAGGACCAACACTTTGTCTACTAGCGACATCTCTTACGATTATTAAAATGTTGCGTTGTTCGAGTTATTGCTTACAAATTGCCAACTTAACTGTACCAATATACCACTTGCTTTCATGGGCTAATTTGCCACATGATTATCGATATGGAACACCTGAACCTCTATACCCCGGTAGAGGGCAAATCGAGATATCCTTCCGCGCTAGTCTACTGTGATTGGTGTATTCATCGCTCAAAGTACAGTACAGTCGGTAACAAGCACAATTATCCTTTAACAACCCGTGTTGTGACACCAATTCAGGAATTAGTTTAAATATAAATATTTTATGGTATCTGTGAGATAGCGTATTTATTCCTTATTGAATGATTAGTAGTTCAAAAATGTGTCAAATATCTTACTAATAACTGATTTTAATAGAGAAAATTACTTAGCAAAATGTGTACATGTTTGGAACAATGAGTTAGTAACATTTAAATGACCCTGAAGTTTCTATAAAATTTCCTAATTTACACCAATAGACCAGTGAATCCATGAGAAAATGTGAATATGGCCACAGATCTTGAAAGGTTGAGGACATCTGTTTAGGATGGCCTACACATACCTACCACTTCATGATAAATAAGATAGCAACTGAAAGCTGCCTAGCAAATCAGCGTCCTATCAGACTATTATTAAGACTACAGACTCGTATGTGAGTGAGTATTCTGAAACAACACATTTCATTGTAGACACGTAATTGCAAGATATGTAGCAATGAGTAGAAAAGTTATTCGTAGGAGTTGCGAACAGTTTACCTTAACAGACGATACAGAGATTTATGCACTCATGACTGAGTTATATGAAAAAACAAGCTATATTGTCGAAAAGTAGTTGTAAAATATTTATGCCTGAGTGTTATATTAATTTAATTGTTTATAATAACCGATGTGTAATAAATAATGGGAGAAATATATGATGAGACGTGGAACTAATTTACAGCTTGCGCGAATTGTTTCCGGCCAAGATTCAATAAAATTTCCCGTAATATTTACCTTCGTTTACATTCGATTTGAAATGCATGCAACTTAAATAATGCTAATAGGAGGGTTGTGAACATACAGGCATAAATACTGTATGCCTTTTGTGCCCGTTCATTTATGTTAGCACACATATATCTCATACGCTAGCAATTCCCTTCTTTAACTCGTGTTACATACTGTGTTACTGTACACCTGAACGTTTTCTATATTTGGCGTAGTACGTTGGTAACGCAAGCATGGTATGATTCAATCGCCAGTAACTAGATGGCAGCTTGATGATATTTTGTGGCGGCGACTGTCGGCGTCTTGAATAAAGTCTGCGACACAAAACTAGTAGTAATACGAGAGAAGGTTTAAATTTAGTCTTCCAGACATTTGCCAGTCATTCTTGAATTATTTCATTTTGATCCCATTAAGCAATTTCTTTGCCTGAAATCAAAGTTAATCTAGTCTTCTAATTTCAGTTTTGGCTATCGATATATCCGACTGGTTACACCACCAAAATTTATCTTACACATGGTACATAACAAGACTAGATTATTTCTTTGATTTAGTTACCATTTCGGAGTGAAGTCTAAAATTTTTCCCTTATGTGTTTCATTTATTCTTTACAGAGTGCAGTATTCTGGGCATACGATATGATCATATGAAATATCATTGGCCTAGAGCGTGAAATTTCACAAGAATTTATCCCAAAGAGGTCGCTCCGATGTTGGCATATATGAGAAGTGCTGTATGAGATTGTTTTTCACCGTTTATAAGACTACTAACAAGCTTATAAACAGGCCATTTTTACTATCGTAGTGTATTTATTGACGTAATCACAGTCCACATGAGTGACAATTTTCAGAATCAAACATGCCTAAAATAAATAAAAGTAGGCATTAAACTGCACATCAGCCTTACTGAACATTCTTACCGCTTCCTTCAAACATTATATGTGGGCCAATATTCGTTAATGATCAACGATGTCAATTTCACTTTGACGTTGCTGCCCTAATTCTCACAAAATTTGATACCACTTTTCAGTTTAGCGTGTCTTCATCCATTCGTTAAATAACATCGTCCTCTGACACAGTCAGTGACTTAGAAATGTTATCAAATATTTGTCAGAGCCTGTACTTTTTAATGTGACAATCCAAGATATTTTACTTTCTATTATTTTAATTTTGCAAAGGCTTGAAGCGAAGAAATGGAGTCAATTTGTGTTATCATCTCCCGCCATCTTGAAACTCCTCTTTACTTCTCACCCCCGTCATTTAAAAATCCCTTATTTTAATTTACTATTCACAGTTCATGAATAATGCAGATCGTTTTAAAACTGTCCAATCCTTTCACGCATTAGCGACACAAGTGACAGCCCTTATTACCTTAACATCGTCTATTAAGACGTAGAAATTAAACTCATGTTGTTTAATTGTTTAGGCCTACTTGACGATTCTTTCGAAGTAATCACTCACTGAAATGAAACGTTGGCCTCGAAATAAATATACGGTACGAGAAGACAATATTCAAATATTAACTACTTGCTCTAAGAAGTAAGAAGTTACATCACCTTTGCATGCTATTGGAGGCCGCGTGGATCAGTGCTGATATGGCTTATGATATCTCCGGAGTTTCTTGTGTCCATTTCATATTTCTTTTCTCCTTATTATTTCCATGTTAGCTGATTAGAAATTCATGAAACTGACGCAACCTTGTCGCTTAGTTCACGTCTTATTGCATGGAGGGTGTCGCTAATATTATGTAAACAGCGTTGGTTTAATTATTATTATTATTACGTTCTTCAGTTTGTATTTAATTTACAAGCCATTAAATTCGTAGCCCGGAAGGTTAGTTGCGATTAAATGTATTTAAATGTTCTTTGCTTCAGATACTGCACATTTTGAAGTTTATTGTGGTTTCAATTTTCCACTCGGTTACTCGAAAAACAATCAGTGAAAACGGAATATATTTACTATTATGCAAAGGAATATTTAATTTAATGCCGAGATATTCTTATGTGTATTTTTATGTATTCATGACAAGTTTAGGTGTGAGAACAACGTTACCATTAATTTAAGTAAATATGTGTTATAAATTATAATTCAACATTACATATTATTATTATTATTATTACTGTTATTATTTAGTCACAGTATTACAGTGTTTGTCATGTAAGGAATTTATCGTTTTGTATCAGCAAACTACATACTTCAAAGGACTAAAGAAGAGTGTTTTGAATCTTTGTAAAAATATAACTTTCTAACATTATTATTGTTTTAATAATTAATATAAGCCATTTATTGTTTTAACATGTCATTCTGTTATTACAGTTGTCCATGCTGTATCACTGGACTAGATAAATTGTGTAATAAAATGGACCGCCGATAGAAGTAAAGCCAATAACCATTCCTAGTTAAAATTTCCACAAAGACGGATCCGAAGTAATGGGATCAATTAAGATAGTTCGATTTATATATTTTTGTGTGGAACAGCAATTTCTCTTAACTGCAATGATTTTAGATGGTTGTTGTTGCAAAAGATGTATTTTGCTGAATACCAAATTTTGTGTTATGTTTGGCGGTCAATAGCAGAAATAAAACTAGTAAAAGTTCCTAATGAGAATTCCGCCCAAGTGCGATTCCACGTAAGAGGATCGAAATTGATCCGGAGCATCGACCTTTCCATTGATTATACGCTTTTCTTTACTGATGCATGATACTACGTCTCACCTTGGTTCTTTTAGACTGCTGTTGTTTCAAACCACTACCTATGACGTGCGTATGTTTCTGTGTCATATGAAGTCCAATTTAAAAATTGAGTGATATGTTGACGTCATATACCGTCTTTGAGGATAGCCAACAGGAGAAATTAGAATGGTAACTGTTTATAATAAAAATTCCCTCCAATACGATTCGAGGTAACAAGATCGATTCGAGGTAACAAGATGGAACAGCAATTTTTCTTAAGCGCTATCTATGCTCTGCGTATGTTTCTGTGTCACTTATTTTTTAGCGTTGTTGTAAATAAAGAAATATAAAAATCATGTAAGTAATATTATGTTTGCTCATTCTGTGTTGCGTTTGTGGATAGCCAACAGGTGAAATGAAGCCAAAAATCGTTCTTCATTCCCCCAAGTGCGATTCGAGGTAACTAGGTCGCAATCGATCCAGGACATAGACTTTTATATGGAACAGCAATTTTTCATAAGTGCTGCGATCCTACGTCATCATTTGTTTACATATGCCAGTTGTTTAAAACTACTGTCTATGATATCTATGTGTGAGTGTGTAAAATCGTTTTTTAAAGTTGTTTTAATAATATACGGTACTCTCTCAAAATTATATAAGTGCAAGAACGTGGACTTCAAGTATCAAAATCGTTCAGGTAAGTCCTTCCCTTACACATAGATCTAAAGATTGTGACAAACTTCAGTAATTATAGGTGTCCCATAAGTCTGGAAACACATGCAATATACGTTTCCTCTTTATTGCAACTAAAGAATGAAAGTAATTCTAATTTTTAGAGGTCTGAATCAGTGAGAAGTTGCAGAAGTTAGTGGACACAATTGAAGGGGATGTGATGAATTTCTTTGATATTACGATTATTGAGAAGGTTTCAGTGTGGAGCAGCGTTGGCTCAGTCGTTATATCCATTGACTTCCAACAAGTAGACCGGGGTTCGATACCCCGCAGGGTTTATGTGTACCTTTTTTTCTTTATTTTATCATTTTCTTCATATGAAATATGTTAGGACAAATTCTTTGAAATCCCCTAATGCTCTGTGTCAACAGTGAGTGTATTTAATAATTGTTGCGTCATGTACTTATGTGTCTGTTAACTGTGTCAGTGACTGTGCTCAGTCAGTTTGAAAGCTTCGTAAGATCTTAATGTTGCACACAGATTTATAAGAGTGAAGATATGGCGTGTCTTTTTGTTTTTGTTAACATGTGTAACGGTGTTCTGATCAGTCGGGTACGAGTATAGCCTCTGAGAAAGGGGCCAGACGGATATAACGACGTTCGCGCTCAAGAGTCTTACCCCACAAGCTCTATCATTTTAATTCCATGTTCTCTGTGACGTCGAGGGTAAAAGGGTAAGAGGAGGGTGCATATCTGCCGCTTGGCTGCTCTTCACCCCAGAACAAATATCCAGGATATTGACTGCTACCACATCATTAATATGCATAAATTGACACAGCAGAGACCGAGCAGCTATTGAATTTTAATGTATTTACTTGATTCAGATAGGACAGTCACCTGCCCATCTCTGATCATCCCGTTTTCAATAACCACTCTCTAGTGATCACTTGACATATCTCTCCGCCTATTTATTTCGCTGCTTGTAGAGACATAATAACGTATGCAGTGTTGCCGGGTGCAGACTTACTGAGCGTGTTACCTCAGTAAGCTACATAACTGATCTCTTTCCCATAACCGATGTTTATCTTCTTGTTCAGTTTATCCACGCCTCTCAAAAGTTAGCATTCTTCTTATTCGTGAGGTCCCGAGTGCTATTTTCGACCCCGAATCCGTCTATCTTGACTGGATATTTTTGTGGTCTTCCTTTGTCCGCTACGGCCACTTTCTTTGACAGTCATTTCCCATTCGACGCTATATAACTTACGGTGTTGAGAAAAGGTCGTTAAATACTGTAACAAATATATCTCCAGGTAGCAGGATGGGGTACCTCAGCTGTATGTCTGGCTTGTGTTCGAAATGTACCTTTTTAAAATCTTGAAAGATTAGTCTATTACATTGGCTTCAAATCTTCATGATTTCTCTCAGTCCCTAAAGGAAAATGCCTTGTAAAACTTTAAAATAAACCACGACCGCTTCCTTCCACAATAATCATGGAACACGTTTGTCCTTTGTTTGTGTTTCTTGTCCGGGCTCTCGAGTGCTTCGTCGGTATTACAGTTCCTGTTTTCAAAAAACAGTCTAGTAAGAAACTAGCATGTTTAAGTAATTTTATACAAATCAGCGAGCATATTAACTTTCGATTTTTGCAGAGTATTGTGTTCCCTTTTCTGCGTTATCTGGGTGCGGCGCTTCCACGTTTTTCGTGAACGCATTCAAGAAAGAATATGGTAGAATTCTGGAATAAGCCGGGCCCCTTCCTTTCCAAAATAACTGCATGTAACAAAGGGTTTCACTTGTGAAGAAGATAGTCTCTTGTCGGGCAAAGAAATACCGCAACTTTTATGGACCTCAAAGGTTTGTTTCAGTGATAATAGAAGCCCGTCACTTGACACTGTCATGATCCAGTTTAATCAATCCACACCGCCATAATTCATTTCTTTAATATTTATTTTAATATTATCTACACATATTTTCCCAAATTAGTATCTCTCCTTCGCTTTTCCGACCGAAATATTGTAGAGGGTCTGTTTATCTGTGAACTCATCCATAAGTGTTACGAACCCCCATGTCCCATCCTTCTTGTTTTGTTCACCCTAATAATAATAATAAAATTTGGACTCACTTTTCTAGTGACAAACTTTGGCCTTTCTCGAAAGTACACTCATATAGGCCTGAATTAACAAGTAAGTCACAGTGTTGTAATTTTAATTTTTAGTTGTCTACACAGGAGATGGGAAGACAACAAATTATAAACCGAGTGTAGTACGCATTCTCTGAATTTTATCTGCTCTTCGCTTCTTCGGCAGTGTAATCTTGATTTCTCACCCTTTCAGATTTGCCCTTAATAATCACCCTCTTACATGATTACACGATAAATAAACTGTCGGCTTGATACTGTGTGAACACATAAGCCTAACATAACTTACGATGCAGTTAATTAATCATCCTCTGTAATATTTGTGTATTAGTCTACTCCGCTACTGAGTAAGAATAAAGGCAACATTGACGCTGACATCATGAAGGCTTACAGAGGTGGAGTTAATGCTGCACACTTTATAGACTCTGGAAATGAGTCATCAGCTTCACGTGGTGGTTAAATTTAACGTCGGAAGAAGAAACTCGTGACCTGCCAAACAGAACAGAAGAACTGATTGACCCGTAGGAGGGCTGGAAATGATGTCTTGGAGACCCGAATCCCTGTCCCTGCTGGTGATCGATTCCTGGTCTATGACCCAATAGCCAGTCACGCTTTTATATAGTGTTAGACACCGTGTAACTTAATCAAATATTCAGTCTTGTCACAGACTGTACGGGATGATATTAATGAATAACTTCTCAAGATAAGAAGCCGGCATCAGCATTATTGCCTTGTAAGTCTTTTCCAGACGATTAGCAATCACCAACCTGTGGCCATCATGCATATGAAGATACAAAATGATAAATGACAGGAAGCTGTCTGGTGAAGTGTTTCAAGATAAAAACCTGAGTGAAGGTAGTCACGTCTGGAGCCAGAAACAAGGCTAATCACATCTCCATATGCCGCCAGCATGACGTGACCAATTGGCTGATATGTGGAAGAGGGGCAGCTTATGCTCTTATTGTGCGCACTGCAAGAGCGCCTGCAGACTTACCCGCAATACGGAACAGTCGGAGAAGATGCCGACCAGTCGCGGCGCACCTGACGCGGAAACGAATAACACGGAGCGTTGTAACACGTTAACACGACTGACTCACTCGCTCAGCGACTGCAGCTGTGGGCAGAATTCTTGTCACATTTTTATTTAGGGTTTAACATTTTCTGACCGAAAGTTTTCTTTGTATATGTCATCACTTTCACTCGTGCTACATAACCATTGCACCTAGAAATGTAAAAATGTGTGTGGACATAGATCATAAGCATATCTGCAAATCTGTATGCCATACTAATGTGTTAAATATTATATAAATGGCGACCTTCCGAAATTTGGGGTTAATATTTTACGTCTTTCATTACCAGAAATAGGTATCTGTGGTAGTAAATATTATGTTTATAAACAGGTAATTGAAGTCGTGTAATTATTAAAATATAACTACTCCTGATGTCTTTCTATAGGTCCATATGTGGAAGTGCTAAAAGGAAATATGCATCACAAGTTCATCCATGATTTTCCCCTATTGTGTAATTTGGCAATTTATTTGGAAAATACACTAAATGTAAAGTAACTAAATTTCATAATTATGTCACAAAACAACGCTAATATTTACTGGGGGGGGGGACGACCCGTTCTTCAAGTGCCTGAGCACTTCGGGTCCCAACGGCTTTGATCTATAGACATTATAGTAGGACTCCTTTGACGAGGGATCGGCCCGTCGCAAGGTCTCTACCTGTACACAGGACAGCACAACACAAAAAAACGCGGACAAATATCCATGACTTGAGTGGGATTCGAACCCACAGTCCCAGCGATGAAGCGACACAAGGCCCACGCCTCAGACCCCGCGGCCACTGCGGACCCAACTAACATTTAAGTTTCTAAAATTATCTTAAATTATTTTAACGGATGACTGGTTTTGTGTCATTATAGAAATTAAACATGGAACAAAGCCTAGCTGTTAGTATAAAAGCGCTCACTGTTGGTTATACGTTATTCTGGCTCTCAGTACAACAGTCAGGGTACCCATTGATCGTTCATGAAACGCATTAACCACGCTGTTTGTTTGGTCTCCCCCCAACCCCCGCAATCTTCGCTTCCAGGCTGATTGCGTGTTGATTTCCGCCTATACAGAGATGAACGGGAGTCGTTACGGAAGTTACCAACAATAACGATCAACGATGTTCATATGTCGCTGTCCTTACGATGTGGAACGTCCAAGAAATGCGCGATAAATCGCCTTGCAATATAGCTGGGAACTTCACGAAAGTTTTTCATCACCAAATGATGATCACTTACGCTACGGGTGGCTATTTATTTTGTTAGAATAGTTCAAACAATTGGTGATGAAAGTCTCAGAAATCACCAAAACAAAGAAATTGCTTCTAAATACGAACTCCTTTAATCTCAGTAATTAGTTGTAAACCAAGAGTGAGAAGAAATGACAATGCCAACCATTTAGTGTTCAATTTATAGAACAAAACTCGGTAATTCTGTGCTTCGTTTCACAATACAGTCCCTTGTTCAACTCTGCCCAACAGTTTTAACCTAAAAGCAAGAGGCAAGAAGACATTCTCGCATTGTCGACAGCGAATTCAGAAAATTGTGTTAGGATTAGAGTCTGAAGTAATGTGGTGCAGCGGTAATTAGGAGCTGGTGCTCTCTGGAACAGAAAATAGCGTTAACAGAGCGACGGGAAGTTATGTTCGTTCGTAGGGGATTCTTCCGGTTGGTGCTAAGAACAGTAATGCGGCTTACAGTACACTCGCGGGATCTAAAACTGTTTTAACTGCTGGAATGCTTTCTCTCCAGTATGCTAAAAAATGTCTTTAAGAATACATTTATAGCCTAATATTCGGGACAGCATAGAGTTCTCTGTATGCCCGTATCTTAAT